CCCACCGCCAGTCCCCGCCCCTCGGCCACCTGGAACCGCTCCCACCGTCAGTCCCCGCCCCTCGGCCACCTGGAACCGCTCCCACCGTCAGTCTCCGCCCCCCTCTGCCCCGCCATTCTGGTCCCGCCTCCCAGTCCGTCGCCTTACAACAGCTCTCTTTCTTGTTTACGGCCAGTTGGCTTCCGGTCGCAACTTGTCTTCTGTCGGAAGTTAATTCGCTGACGCTCACCTCTGGGTTGTACCAACTCGTGATGTTTGTTTTCGTAAAATCACCGTGCAAACCTTAAATCCTCTAAAGATCACTTAAAATCCTCTCACTCTCTCGATTATCTCTCTGGACTGTCGAGGTGGTAAATGCTGTCTCTTTTGACAGAGGAATAAAAGACAACACAACACACTCCTCCCGCGGCTCTCTCACATTTAGTGCCTTCCACTTTGGGCGCCACCGTTCAAATTTGAAAAAAAACAGAAGAGGAGAAATTCACCGAGAGAAAGAAAAAAAATCACTGAGAGGTAAGAAATCGCTGTTCGGAGAGGGGAAAATCATCAACGGGGAGAATGAGGGAAAACAAAGGAGAAAGATATTAAAGCATCAGTGAGAGAGAAAAACAGCATGAAGCGAGAGAATGAGGGAAAATCACCGAGTGCTCAGTGAGGAAAAAATACAACCAAAATGATAAAGAAATCACCGAGAGAAAAACATCCAGTGTAGAGAGAAAAACCGAAAGAACTGCGGATGCATTAAATCAGAAACAAAAATAGACGGGTGTTTTTGTGTATTGGAGGGACGGGGCATGGTGTGTGGGTGTGGAGGCGAGGAGAATATCACCAAGACGGGGGCGGGAATAACTAGGAGAGAGAAAATAACCGGAGTGAGAGATACCTCTTGCTAGGATACGATGTGAGAGAGACAGAGAGGAAAAGAAAACAAGAGGAGACTGAGGAAATCGCCAAGACGTGTGTGTGAGAGAAAGTCACAGTGAAGGCAGAGAAAATCACCAGAGATAGAGAAAATCGTCAGGAACAGAGCGTGTGAGGGAAAATCGTCGGGAAGAGATTGAGGCAAAATAAATCACTGGGAAGAGGGTTTGAGAGAGAAAATCGTTGAGCAGAATGTGTGCAAGCGAAAATATGAGAGAGAAAAATCACCGAGAAAAATGAGAGAAAATCAAAGAGGAAAGAGAAAATCAGTGCCAAGAAAAATGTGAGATAAAATCACCCAGGAGCGAGTCAGAGAGCGAAAATCACCGAAGATGGAGAAAATCATCAAGAAAAGAGAGAGAGGAAAAAAAATCACCTGGAAGAAAGTGTGTGAGAGAAGTTTGGGAGGACAGTGAAAAAAGAAATCACTGGGGAGAGGGTTTGAGAGCGAAAATTTGCCGAGGAGAATGTGTGCGAGCGAAAATCACCGGGAAGAAAATCTGCGACAAAATCGCTGAGGAGAGAGTAAGAGATAAAATAAAAATGGCTGGGAAGAATGTGTGAGAGAGAAAACAAACATTGGGGAAAAAATGTGAGATATAATCGCTGAGGAAAGAGTGAGAGAGATAAAATAAAAATCACCGGGAAGAATGTGTGTGAGAGAAAACAATTACCGCGCCGACGGTTTGAGAGAGAAAATTACCGACAAGACCGTGTGAGAGCGAAGATCACTGACAAGAGAGAAAATCATTGGGAAGAAAAGCTGAGAGGAAAAAAAAAGAAACGATCGGGAAGAGAGTTTAAGAGAAAATAAAAATCACTGGGAAGAAAGTGTGAGAAAAATTACTGGGACCAAAGTGAGAGAAAATAATAATTGAAAAGAGGGTTTGACAGAAAAAAATCACCGGGAAGAGTTTGAGAAAGAAAACACCGGGTAGAAAGCTAGATAAAAAGAATCTCAGGGAAGAAGTATTATGAGAAACAAAATCACCAGGAAGAGGGATTCAGAGGGAAAATCACCGGGGAGAGAGAGAGAGCTAGAGAACCACCAGGAAGAGTGTGTGAAAGAAAATCATCGTGAGGAGTGATGGAGCGAGTCATCTACAGGCAAGTGAGAAAGCAGATCACTGAGAAGACAAACCGAAAATCACCGAGATGAAAGCGAGGAAACAGGGAGACAGAGAAAGCAAGTCTCTGAGAGGAGTTCGATACAGCGAGCAAAGAGACAGAAAGCCAGCGATAGGTGTGCGACCAAGGGTGTAGCTCACCGGTGGGGGCGGGGAATAGGATGGGATTCACTGATAGGACCGGGTAAGAAAATCATGGAGGAGTTTCAAGGAGAGGAGACCCAGAGAGCAAATCAGCGAGAGGAGAGATTCAATAAGAAGACAATATCACGGAGAGGAGAGAGAGAGAAGATTGTTGAGAAGAGACAGGAAAGGTCACTGAGATGAGAGTGATTCATCAAGAGGAGAGTATGGGAGAGAGAAAATTGCCCAGAGAACATTTAACAGAGAGAAGAGAGATTCAGCGAGGGGACCATCTGAGAGTGAAGCACAGAGAGGGAATAGATCACCAAAGGGAGGGAGAGGAACCTACTAACATTTAGGAGATGGTTTGAAGCAAAATTTGCAGCAGAGAGTGACACAGAAAGATTTGGCAAGAGGAAAATCTGAGAGAGAATCAATGAGAGGTGTGTGTGAGAGAGAATGAATCACTTTGGTTCGAGACAGAAAATCCAGAGAATAGGAATTGACCAAAAAGAGGTCAATCGCATTCAGAAATATCTAACACCAAAGTTGAGACTAGGAGATGCATAATATTAAAGGTCAAAAATTAAACAAAGCATTGCGGATGCTGGGGATCCAAAACAAAAAGAGTCATGGTGCCGCCCTTCAGTAAACTTGTTTGCATACGCATTTGCTCGGGGATTTGGAGTCATAGGGCATGGAAACAGACCCTTTGGTTGAACTCATTTGTGCAGACCAGACATCCTAATCTGACCTAGTCCCATTTGCAAGCATGTGGTCCGATATCCCTCTCAACCCTTCCTATTCATGACATCCAGACACCTTTTTTTCTAATAACCTATTTTTCTAATCAACCTGTTCAGAAATGTTATCATGCACCTCTGGAGCAGGTAGGAGTTGAACCCAGGCCTCTTAAGTCCAGTGAAGTTATACATTTCAGTGTGAAAAATAGTAAATAGTGTATTTTTTAAATGGTGATTAAGTTGTAATGGTGGATGTACAAAGGGATTTGGATGGCCTTTTACACTAGTCAATGAAAATAAACTGGCAGCCTCAGCAAGCAATTAGGGAAGATACTGGTGTGGTCGCCTCCATCACAAGAGGTTTTGCATTCAGAAGAAGGGATGTCTTACTGCAAGAATGTAGGGCTTTGCACACCTTGGTGAGATTGGCCTGGAGGATTGTATGTCATTTTTGGTCTTGCTACCTAAGAAAGCTATAATTGACATAGAGGGAGTGCAGCAAAGGTTCACATGGCTGCTACTACGGATGGCAGAATTGTTGTACGAGGAAAGATTGGTTTGACTCTGAATTCACTAGAATTGAGAAGACTGAGAGACGATCCGATTGAGAGGTATGAAGTTCTAAGGCTAGATGCAAGGATAATCCTCTGCTGGAGGAGTATAGAGCCAGGGCTCACAGTCAGAAAACATGGTAGGACATTTTAAGGGTGAGATGAGGAAATATTTCTGCACTTAAAGGTTGGTCAGCTTGTAGAATTTGCTACCCAAAATGCCATGGAAGCAGGCTAGCAGAAGATATTCAAGAAAGATGTTGATTTTTTTTTTTGGCATGAAAGGCATCAAGGGTTGCAGAGAGAAAGCATGAATATGATGTTCAGGTAAAGGGTCAGCCATGATCACATGGGATGATAGAGAAGATGTAAAGGGCCGAAAGGCCTACTCATAGTTTTTATGCTTCTTTGCTTTCTATTAAGGGTGGAGCAGACTGGGAGGATAAAATGTCGTCCTTCTATTCCTGAATCTTACGTTTCTATATGAGGCAGAATCGCTGAGGAATGTGAGAGGAAGAGAGAAACACCAAGATGAGAGGATGAGAGATAAAAAACCCCCAGAGTTAGAGAGGAAATCACTGTGAAGGGAGAGGAAATGTCAGAGATAACAGGCTGTAAGAGAAAATAACCAAGATTATAGAGTGAGAGAGAACATCACCGAGATGAAAGAGACAGACAATCAGTAAGAAGAGAGGGAAAATTGCTGAGTGGGAAGTGAGAGAGCGAGGAAAACACTCAGAGGAGCGAGACAGGGAGAGAAGATCAACGAGATACAGAGATTGACTAAAAGTTGAAGGCAAAAATCACTCACAGGAGAAAGTGAGGGAGAGAATCACTAGAGAAGAGAGAAGGAAAATCACTGCGAAACTTGAGACAGAAAAATGTTTTGAGAGGAGAGGGTGAGATGTAAAATCATTGAGAGCAGACGGAGAGGGACAATGCCTGAGGGGAGACAGAGAAAATCCCCAAGAGGATGGAGAGAGAGCAATGCATTGAGAAGAGAAAGAGGAAGAATTGCTGAGCAGGGAGAGAGAAAATTGCTGAGATAAGAGCAATTGACTGAGTGAAGATGCTGAAAATCAGGAAGAGGAGAGACAATCAATGAGATTGACAGAGAAAATCACCAAGAGGGGACAGATTCATTGAGAGGCGTGAGTGAGAGAGTAAATCCCTGAGAGCAGACAGAGAGAAAACCACTGAGAGGATAGCAAGAGAGAAAATCACTACACAGATTGGAAACATCTCCAAGATATGAGCAAGTCACTGAGACAAGGGTGAGTGATACTAATGCTCGGTCTGTCTCTTCTATTGGCAAATCAACACCAGGATAGTTCCAGAGCAATTCACTGAGAAGAGAGAGACAAATTCTCTGAGAGGAGAGGCTGAGACTCATAATCATAGTGAGGAGAATGCTTCACAGAGAGGGAGAGGACGGAGAGAGGGAATCCCTAAGAGGAGTTACACAGAAGCTCCTGGAGATATCCCTTTCAGATAGAGGGTCACCCAACGTCATATTGAATGATGGTACTGGTGCAAAGAGCTGAATGGCCTTCTAGTTCTGTGCATCTATGTTTTCCATTCATGACAGAGCAGGGTTGGAGGGCCAAATAGCCTATATCTATTTCCAGACCCAGTGTTTGAATGTGAGAGAGAAGCACCAAGAGATTTGAGAGGAAGAGACAATCACTAAGAGGAGAGGGTGAGCAAGAAAATCAAAAGGAAGAGATTGTCTCACTCTATCAGTGAGAAAATGGAGAGGAAATACCGTCACTCTATCGTCTCAGTGATTTGCTCTCTGACACTTATTGGTGAATCTCTGTTTCATTTCTCGGTAAAAGACACAGCATTATTTAAATCCACAGTTCTTTGTATTTTTTTTGTTGCTTAATGGAAGTGAGGAGGCAGTTGCAGCAAGCAATTGATACCAGATATGGAGGCATTGTCAAATGAGCAAAGATTAAAGAAGTTGGGACTCTATTTTCTGGAGTTGAGAAGAATGAAACATATAGGATTCTTAAGGGACTTGACAGGGTAAACGCTGGGAGGAT